TATAGGTTTGCAGTGCGGGGCAGGGGTGTGTTGGGGCTGTAGCTAAGGGTGCAGGGGAGGGACTGTGTGGATTTGTGGTGCAGAGGAAGCGCTGTGAAGGATCTGCAATGTGTGGGGGGTTGGTGTGGGAGAGGGGCTTTGGGGCTGTAGGTTGGGGTGCTGGGGGGTTGTGGTGCAGAGAAGGAGCTGTGGGGAGAGTTACGATGTGGGGGAGGGGCTGGGGGGGGCATGGGTCAGGATCCAGGGGAGGGGCTGCGGTGTGTGTGTGTTTGCAGTGCAAGCAGCGGGGTGGGTGGGCTGTGGGGGGGGCGGGGCGTGTGTCAGGGTGTGTGGGACAGGCTGTGGCTGTGTAATGCAGGAGAAGGGCTGTGGGTTTGCAATTTGGGGAAGGGGCTGTGGGGTCATGGGTCAGGGTGCGGGGGAGGGCTGTGGCTGAAGAGGGGCTGAGGGGGGGTGTTTGCAGTGAAGGGGGGCTGTGAGTTTGCACTGTGGGAAGAGCTATGTGGGCCGAGGTGTAGGGGACTGTGGCTTTGTGATGGAGGGGAGGGGCTGTGGGTTTGCAGTGTGAGGGAAGGGTCATGGGGGCCGTGGGCCAGGGTGCAGGGGAGGGGTTGGAGGTGTGTGTTTGTTTGCAGTTCAGGGGAGCTGTGGGGAGGTTTGGGATATGGGGGAAGGACTGTGGGGGCCGTGGGCCAGGGTTCAGGGCGGACTGTGGCTGTGTGGTGCAGCGGAGGGGCTGTATGTGTGTGTTTGCAGTGCAGGGGGGGCTGTGGTGAGGGCTGTGGGGTCCGTGGGCCAGGGTTCAGGGGGGACTGTGGCTGTGTGGTGCAGAGGAGGGGCTGTGTGTGTGTGGGGGTGTTTGCAGTGTAGGGAGCGCTGTGGGTTGCAGTGTGGGAAGAGCTGTGGGGGCCGGGGTGCGGGAGCGCCTCGGGCAGGTGACATGCTGCGGTGCTGTGCGCAGGGCAGCGGGATGCTGAGGGCATTGTGCGGTGGATGCGGCGGAAGGCTGGCCCCAGCACGGAGCTGCTGCAGGATGAGGCCAGTGCCCAGGAGTTCATCGCTTCCCAGGATGTCGTCGTCGTCGGGTTCTTCAAGGTGCGGGGCCTGGTGGGCAGGAGCAGAGGATGTGGGGCCTGGCGGAGCTGCTGGGTGTGGCGCCAGGACAGACTGGGTTCAGCATGCCCCTGGGATGGGTGGGGCTTTGGCTGCCCAGAGTGTCTAGGTGGGGACTTTCCCCACTGGCTGGCAGGGACGGTGCCCACACCACAATGCCCCCCTGGAGGCCCTGAGCAGGCCCTGAGCAGGTGCCACGATCGAATGCCAGCCCTGTGTGCATGCTGTGGGAGGGCCCTCCAGTGACGATCCCCCCCACCCACCTCTCAAAGGCGTCAACACCTCCCCTCCCTGGTACCCCAGTAGTGCCACATGCCAGCCCTGTGCGCCCAGCCCAGCCCCACCCCCTGCCTGCTGGGGAGCAGCTCATGGGCGAGGGGCCAGGGCACAGTCCCCATGGTGCCAGCCCCCTGAGCACCATGGCATCGTGGCTGCGGGTGCCATGTTGCCTGCTGAGGGCTGTAGGCTCCACAGGCTGCAGCACCATGTTAGACGGCGAGTGCTCTTCACCATGGGGCTGCCGGGGAGCTGGTCTGGGTGGGCAGCGCAGTGCCCCTCCCCCCAGCTCAGGGCCTCGCGGGGTGTTTACAGGACCTGCAGGGCAAAGCTGCGCAGGGCTTTTATGAAGTTGCCAGTGATGCTGTGGACGTGACCTTCGGGGTCTCCAACAGGACGGAGCTCTTCCAGAAATACAGCGTCACCCCCGACACCGTTTGCCTCTTCAAGAAGGTGAGAGGGGGCGGGGCAAGGCACCTGGCACTGGCCCTACCCCAGCTACAGCCCAACAGGGACATGGGGATTCATGGAGGCTAGGTCCATCAATGACTATTAGCCAGGATGGGCAGGGATGGTGTCCCTAGCCTCTGTTTGCCAGGAGCTGGGAATGGGTGACGGGATGGATCACTGGGTGATTACCTGTTCTGTTCATTCCTTTTGGGGCACATGGCATTGGCCACTGTTGGCAGACGGGATACTGGGCTAGATGGACCTTTGGTCTGACCCAGTATGGCTGTTGTTATGGGCCACCCAGAGATGGGCATGAGCACCAGCCCCAGCAGGTGACAAGGTGGGTATGTTGGGATGGGAAAGGCCTGGGAAGATGGGCAGGAGGGGCTAATGCAATGGCCAGGGCAGGGCACTTTCCCAAGGCTGTTGCCCCAGCAGGACATGGCCCCATGGGGTGCCCTGCTAGTGCAGGAGGCAGCCTGGGGCCCTGCCCAGCCGCTCCCACCTTCGGCTCCAAGCTCTCAGTGTGTGGCGCTGCCCCGCCTTGGTGTGTTGCAGTTTGATGAGAAGCGGGCGGATTTCCCGCTGGACGCGGAGCTGGGCCTGAACAAGGAGGAGCTCTCCCGCTTCATTGGCCTGCACAGCCTGGAGCTGGTGATGGAGTTCACCAGTCAGGTGAGACCACCCCCATGAGAACAGCCCCAGAGAGGCTGTACCCCAGAGAGCTTTACACAGACAGTGCACTGCAGGGCAGGGCTGGCGGAGGGATTACAGCCAGGGCACTGGGCAGGGCTGACGGAGGGCACATGGCTCACAGCACAGCGCCTTCTCGTGTGACAGGTTTCAGTGGTAGCCGTGTTAGTCTGTATCAGCAAAAAAACAAGGAGTCCTTGTGGCACCTTAGAGACTAACAAATTTATTTGGGCATAAGCTGTCGTGGGTGAGCAGGACTGGCCTAGGGCACATTGCTCTCGGAACAGTAGGGGTGTGTGTGTGTGTTGGGGATTATAGCTGGGGCACTGGGCAGGGCTGGCGGAGGGATTACAGCTGGGGCACTGGGCAGGGCTGGCGGAGGGATTACAGCCAGGGCACTGGGCAGGGCTGGCGGAGGGATTACAGCTGGGGCACTGGGCAGGGCTGGCGGAGGGATTATAGCTGGGGCACTGGGCAGGGCTGGCCTAGGGCACATGGCTTGCTGCACAGCCGGGTGTGGAGTGTGTGTGTGGGTGGGG